GAAGATAGCTTCTTAACTGAGGATTGCTGTCCGGAGCACTGGAGATAGCATTTAAACCGCGCTGTTTATACTTCAGAAATGTACAGCAGCTAAATTGTGTTACCATAGCTATCCTGAAGTTGCTCTTAATTGGCTGGATTTCACAGCGTGGCTGAGGCTGGCAGGGACCCCTGGAGGCCACCTGCTCCAAGCCCTGCCCAAGCAGGGCCACCCAGCGCAGCCTCCTGGGCTGCACTCTGTGCCCAAATCACCTGTGTGTCTGTATACCCAAACAGGCAGGGTGTTACCACTACAGTAACAAAAAACAAGGGATGTGCAAACTCCAGAACAGCAGTTCTGGAGCTCCTCAACTGTGCGTCTCTGGGAACTTGTCCTAAAAGTTGACAACAACTAGCTAAATTCCCTCTGGGATTTATTTATTTATTAAAATTCCATTAGTATTAGTTTTAGTTCACGTTTTATTGTGTAGTATTTTAAATAATGTACCAAATCTGTTTGGTGAACCTTTTCCCCTGTATGTCTCGTGTTCAGCAGCATCACTTGTTGTCCCTGGGTTTCAAGAGCACGCTGTTGAGATGCAGACTAGCAAAAGCTTAAGAAATTGTTATTTTAGTGCTTTATGTGTGTCTCTCTCCATTGTATTCCAGCATATTAACCATCTCAAGGTAATCATTTCAACATAATGGCATATAGTTCAGGATAATTTCACCAGTAAATAAATAAATATTTGTGCATCTCAGCAAGTATTTATATTTTATGTTGCTAGCAACAGGCTTGCATTTGCTGAAGGTCAGTGACCTGAATTATGTTCGTCTCAGACAACAGTGGGTGTCAGAGATTTCTCAAGTAATACTCATGAAGTACCAGAGAAGTTACAAAATAGCCTTTCACAGAGGAAGAAGGAACTTCCTGAACTTGGCTGGCATTAGCACAATCTCCCAATTCTTCACTAAAGGTTTCATGTAGAATTTTATAGTGCAGTGATACCAAATAAGGACAACTAATCTCTCTAGGAAGTGTTTTAATTAGTAAAATATAAAAAGTAAAACCCTCCCCAGCAGACTTATCTTTTAATTCGAGCTCTTAGGTATTCTGTTATTGATGTTCTGAAAACTGTCATTTCAGTTTGTCGAGAAAGACTGCTTCATAGATAGATGCTGGAAATGAAACCAAGATTGTAGTGAAAACGTGACCTTTTTAAAAAAGGTGTTTATGGTTGTTGCTTTTAACACTTTGTTCCACCCAGTGCAAGGATGCAATCTTTGAATTGTAGATGCTTTAAATTAATATCTATTATATAAACTAAATATTCAACACATTATATGACTTACCTACGTTTTTAGGTTTATGAAATAAGTTTAAGAAAGCCCAACTTGCTGCTCTTAGATTCAGCTGAACTGGATTCCTGTTGTGTTCGTATGTTATAAAATTGTCCCCATTTGCAAAAACTCACGATCTAATTTGATATCCAGGCAAACACAAAAAAAAGAGAAACGGGGAAGGATGATGACACCTCTCTAGAGAGAAGTTAATAATGGTTTTTGTGCTTAATTGTTAGGTTTTTATATGTATGTCTGCTCTGAAACCAGCTTTGGTTTACAGTGAACCTCATGGCAAGTGAGTTGGCTATTAAGTGTCCTCAGTGAAGGAGAGAATGCTGTTGAGGAATACGGTGGGATAATGCACACATCCTCAAAAGGCTAATGGAGAAACTCAGCCTCTGGTGTGAGGAAAAGTTAGGGACAGGTGAAAGCTTGGTGTTTTTCATAGTCACCATCTTTACAATATGGAGTATGATCTGGGATAAAATATGCCTGCTCAGCACCTTCTGTTAATTTAAGTATTTTGTAGTAAAGTTCAACTCCACACTTGAAATTATTCATGAATGTGGAATTGCTTTGAGTAGGAGGGTAATCCCATTATCTATACCTTGAAGAGTTCAGAGGAGCGTTGTGTAGGTAAGGGCAGACGAAGAGCAGAAAGCAGCTGTAATTAAAACAGGAAGCGAAAGCTTGAAGTACAGTTTTAGCATGGTAGCTTCATACGCAATTGATTTCTAAGAACACTCTCTTCATTTAAATAAACTACTTCAGTTATTCTTTTGCTTGCTGTACAACTTCCAATAATTTGCCTTTCAACACCTTAGTTATCTCTTCCTCTCCTTTAATCCCAGTTCACTTCTGTTAGGTACCAGTCAGTAGATCAAGCTGGGTTCTTGAAGCCCAGTAAATGTTGTTACTGAGGGGATCCATTTCTTTTCTAGTAGTGACCTTGCAGATTGTGTGATGAGCGGGATTTGTTCTTTGTTCTACATTGTCAGTTTATCATCTAGAGTGGGCAGCCCTTTTTATGGGCTGTGTAAAGGGCATTTCAGTTTTAAGAAGTCAGCAAAGCAGAGGCATGATAGAAGGCAGTTTAAATGTGTTGCCCCTGCAGCTATTATGTGGTTTGACCGTGTCTGTTTTAAAAAAAAAAAAATAGTTTAAAATGTTACCCTTCTGTGTTGTGTATCTGTGCTATTGGTACAGTCACAGAAACTCATTATCTTTGGTTTGGGCTGGAGTTTTTAAATTATTATTTTTTATATATCATGGGTCCCTTCTTAGAACACAGCACTACGACAGGCACCCACCTGCCTCTCTGCTTCCCCAGTACTTGTCCAGTTCTTCAGGCTGTGGTAGCTGTCCCACTGATGGAAGAAAGGCCTTGGTTTGTGATGGGCATGTTCTGCTGGGTAGCTATGAGGTGGGTGGGTGTACAGATTCCCTGTTAATGAGCTGTTAATGACTTTGGTTACATCAGCAGCTCTTCCTCGCTGCCTGTAGCTCTAACTTAATCTTCTCGATTCAAAAATGATTCAGGTCTGTGTGTGATACCTTTCAGTTTGGTTTCTCCTTTGTTATACCTTCGTCAATCCTTTGCAAGGCGGATACTTTTCAGAGTTGGTATTATAAGTGATCTTAAAAGCATTCGAGGTTAATTTACAATCAGCATAAGGCAGAGCCTCCCAGATGGATGAAGTTGGTTCACTTCTGTGACAAAATAAGCTGTGTGTGAAGTTTGGTAGCTACAGCATGAAATTCTGTGTTTGCTGGATGGCACATTGTTATTAAATGGCTTCCTCTTCTTATATTTCAGAATAGAAAGAGTTTGCAGTCTGTTTGCCTGGGACAGCACTGTGCTGTATGTTGCTGGAGTTGCCGTGGGTTTGGTACAGCACGAGGCTGTTGGAAAGCACTGGAGATGTGCTGATGTTTGGAGCTTACCATGCCTGTTGCAGGACTGGCAGAAGTCTATATGAATGCTCTACAATCTCTACTGGCTGAAAATCAGCTGGGTTTTGGACAAACCATGTTTGTTGATAGTTTGAACTACACTGACACTACTGAAACTGGCCTTGTGCTGAGGTGAATGGGAGGGAATCCTCTCTATATGTGAGCTGCAAGGTGGTAGAGACAAAACAGTGATGTTTCCAGACCTCACAGCTGCTCCTGAAAAGAGTTGCTCTAATACTAGTTTCTACAGATACTGCAATTAAAAAAAAAATCTTGGCTAGGGACAGCTTTCAAAAATGGCAATACAGATCTTTGGCTGTGAGACATCAGTGCAGGCTGGACATACCTAGCACTTAAGGATTTTTGCTGTTTGTTTAAATCTGGTGACTGTTTAGTGTACAGAGGAGCTTGGTCTTCCTTCCTCTCTTCTTGTTCTTGAGTGCAGGTGGGTGACTGCTCGGTTTAGCTGGACTAAGCTTAGTGCAAGCCACTCTCAGCATCTGTTTGTGTGGTGTATGCGTTTAGCATAAGTACCAGGATGAGTTTTTTTTTTTTTTTTATCCAAACTGAAGCAACTTAGGCATGTAAGCACCTAGTTTGTAGGATCCTGTGTAGCCTTAGACAGTACTCATCAGCCTTGCCAAGGTCATGGCCACTGAGCGTATGGCACTGATGTTGGAGGTGTCTGTGGAATTTCACTGGAAAACTAAGGCTGTTGGTGTGTGATGAGGGGTGGCCAGATTTTCTTTGCTCCCTCCCTCTTTTGGAGGCATGACAGCAAGAATTTACCTGCTCATAAAATAACAACCCACTGCAGCATATACGGCTATGTGTATCGAAAAAGTAATTCGTACTGTCTTACCCCCGCCCGCTTTTGTGTGTGTGTCACTTCTGTGGCATGGTGGCAGAACTGGTAGCTGGGCTTAGGGTAGGTGCAGTGCTTACACAGTTATTGTTGGTCAAGAAATGAATGTGAAATTCAGTATTTTCTGCTCAAATTGCAGTACCTACGTGCGTTTCTGGCTGGAAACACTTTTCTGGAGTTACATGTATATCTCAGGAGGTGTTTAAATTGTAATATTCTAGGCTCTACAATTTAATGAGCTGTTAAGCAATTTGCTGAAGTTCACTAAAATTCTCATTTATTAGTGAATTTTTGATGTCTGCATCGGTTATATAGTACCAACAGTATTTCATTGGAGAGCGCATGAAAAGCAAATCATTGAAAATACTTTGACCAGGGGTTGGTTAGGTGGTGCTTTTTGTTTTTCTTTCATAGTCCCGTAGTACTTTGTAAGTTCTATGAGAGACTGTTCCCTGGAAACTCACCTTTTTATATCTCCTTGTCATGCAGAAAGTTGTAATTCTATCATTCTGAGCATTTTTTTTAAACTTTGTGTAAGATGAACCTAATTCAATGTCATAGGAGGAAAAATGGGGTTGTACATTGTAGACTTCTGTGCACTTACAGTTCTGTAGCTTGTTGATTTGGCAAAATCCCACAGTTCAGCCTTGCAAGACGATCTTTGTAATGTCTACCTCTACTTTAGGATGTTTTTGGAAAACTTCATTTTCTGTTGGAACTTCCTAGGTTTACCTCTGTGGTTCTACCTGATAGCTAGGATTGAACTAGGTGTTATGTGAATCCTGTAGAAGAGAGGTTATCATTTCTTGAGATATCTTACTGGTTGTATTTATACTTTGTATTTTTTCTTCATTTTGCAGTGTTGTTTCCTGCTGGACTCCCCCTGTCCCCACAACCCTACAGGATGATATGAGACTTGAAAGAAGACGATGCATACAGGTGAGCTTATTGTCATGGGCTTTTAGAAGGGAAAATCTTTGTTGTTGAAACACTTTTTCATCCACTTTACTTTTTCTGTACTCCCAGAACTGTGTCATTCCAACTTTAGTAGAATATTTAAGAAACTGTAGAACTTATGAAATCTTCTTATGAAACTTACGAAAACTTTTTTGTAACTGACTAGGAAAGAAAATGGTTTCCCTGAATGGAAATTTTGTGTCCAAACTTTAATGAAAAAAGGGTTTGCTTTCAAGGATGCTAACTAAATATACTGCTTTTCATCTTTTCTTCTTTGTTATTACCTCCCTTTTAATGCTGCTTGCTTACCAAGAGATGTATGTCACCTGTTTTGTAACACTCTATTTCCATCTTTCCTTAAATTCCTTTTAAAGAAATGTTACGGATCCATCTGAAAGAGCATACCAAACAAATAGCTAGGAGTTCATTATGCCTCACGTATTTATGTCCAGCTACTGTAAGACTTCTCAAGAACTGAGAAGATCTTTGAACATCTTTAACTCATTACTCATTTTTAAAATTGATGTTTTATGAAGTTCTTCTGTTTTCTGGTAAGCAAAATAAGGTCCATGTGTACTTGTAGATTAAATAACTTGTAGCAGTACTGTTTTGCTGGAAATACTTGATTTTTTTTTTTTTAATATTTTGACATGAAAAATCATGATCAACAGAAACAGAGTAGAAGTTGGGTTATACAGGAGGATTGGTGTAGTTCTTTACGCCTGTGTGTCCATATTTAAGTTGCAGAACAACGTAATGCTTACGTTTTGGGGCCCGTGACAAATGAAGTGCGTGTAAGACAGGTCTTGCGTTTGCTGGCTCTGCTTTAAAACCGATGAATCCTTGAGGTCAGGAAAAAAGCTAGATACGTTTACGTATGCATGCAGATCATCTCCTGATTGACAGTTTTCAGTTGCATCAGCTGTTCATGCATAAACAGCTTTACAGGGTATATTTACATGGAGTATGTTGGATTAAGGCCAAGATGCTGTAAGTGGATATTGCATTCTATGAAAACTAAGCATTTGTTCATTTCAGTTGTATGTGTGTAAATTGTATGTCGATAAGTCAAGTAAAACTGGTCCTAAAAAGAGTATAAAAAGAGGTACAGCAAAGAAGAGGAGAAAGAAAAATATTCTGAAGGGATGATATTTAATTTGTTATGTATACGGAGGGATAGCAGTTACAGTCTTAAAAGTAAATATTTTTATGTCCCGTAAAATTTGTGGAGCTCTCTCAAGTTGGCAGTCATAGCAACTTATTAGTTTGTATGTCATTTGCTTATTGCTGTGTAGATTAAAATATAGCCCAATTTAAATACTGAGAAAGAGGTTTGAAAGACTAAAAGTATTCATGCCACAATGGAACAGAGAGATGATGATACAAAGTAGAACCTGTATACTGTTTGACAGGGTTAAGTTTAGTATTTTTACACATTAATCACATTTAAAATAAAACTTTAGCACTTTCAGTTTTGGTCAGGTTTTCTGATGATGGTGAGCTTGTAGAATTATGAGCTTAAAGAATAGAAATGTATACGGGATTTTGAAAGGCAGTGTTTTTAGTAGTAATTCCATCTACTAAAGCCCAAACTCTTCATTTAGAAGTCTCATGGTAAGTACAGAGTGAAAGTCAGTGGTATCTTGACAAAGACTTTGGGACTTCTGATGTGCCATTTAAATTGGAAATGAAACAAGTAAGATTTATTTGCAGCTCTCCATTTATTAGGAGAGCCAATAGCTGTATGTTGGGGTTCTAAGAAGAAAGATGATTTGTATGCCTTAGAATGAGAAAATGTACTGCAGTTATTCTCTAGTACAGTAACAGCAAGAGTCATGTGATGACTCTGATACCTGCTGCAAGTTCAAAGTAGCTGGTGAGAGCGCAGGCCAGAAATTGAAAGGTTTTGTGGTTACTGAGGGTGGTTCCTCTTGCATCCTTAACAAGGCGCGGCTTCTGAGGGTGACTGATCTGGGGTTTCAGAGATGCTTGGTAATGCTTAAGCTACCCTTGGGTAAAGAATGAGAGCTTGTATAGGGTAAATAAATACATTCTTTGTTACAGTGGGCATCACTTCATCTCACTGGAAACTGACCTACTCAAAAACCCTGGAATTAACTGCAGCATTACCAAGGAAAACAATCCCTCTCAGGAAGACCTATTTTTTTCACTTTTTCCAGTATCCCTCATTATATTGTTTCTTTTCTTTTAAAGATGGTGATATGTTTCGTTGTCACAGAAGAGAGAGATATTTTGCTGTGCTCTTAGCACCTGTGCTATGTAGGACACAATCAGAGAAGGGAACTGTTTGGAGGGCTAAAAGACTTTCAAGATTTGCTTTTTGTCAGTCTTGCTAACTTTTTAAGATTTTACAGGACTTACGTTGTTTTTCTGTGAAGTACTTTGCAAAAAGCAAAGCTGGGCATTCAGTTAATTATAGGAAGAGCTAAATTTATATTTCAGACGTGCTTGTGCATCACAAATATGTGGTAACAAAGGTAATGCCTTAGAATGAGATTTATGTTAAAAGTGTATATTCAGAATGTGTAGTTTTTTTACTTCTTTGAGAGTTAATCTCTTCCAGAGCAGTGTCTGAAAAGTTGGAACTGTAAGTGCAATGTTATTGCTGCCTTTACAGTGGTAGCTATTATTAATACTACAATTATGCTGATAATTGTATTAGCAAGTGTTTACTTTTTATAGTGTGGTAGCATCAGATTTGGGATTGTGCTGCATACTTACAAGCAAGGATTGATCTTGCATTTAAAAGAGTACATTTTAAAATTAATTGCCACGTCTTGTGCTGCACCTGCCAAGTAGAGTAGCACTGTGTGGTTATTTTTGTTGTTGCTCTTTGTACTTTTTTCCCTCTCTTTGTAGAGCCTATCTTATAAAAATGAATTGGTTTTAAAACAAAGAACTTCCTTGTTTTGGCTTTGATTTTTTTCTTGTTAGCTGTGGCCTAGGAATATATAATTAAGAATAATTAACTGTCTGATCTTTTAAGCTTTTGAAGAGCTTACAGCCTGTTGTCTTTTCTTGACCTATGCCAGAAAAGGACTTGCCTCTCAGTTGAGCATATGAGGGACCAGTGTAAATCTATTAAACCAGATGTATGAGATCCAGAAGGATCCACTCTGGAGGAATGGAACACCACACACCAATTCTCTCAGAGTAACTGCTAACAGTTACTGTTGGAGAAGTGTTGTTCTTGACAGCAGAAAGGAAGGAAAAAGTTGCATGGCTGCATGTCCTGAACTGCTTTTTGGTGGTGATGAATTTTATATTAAAACACAACAGATACTTCTTCCTGATTTAGGTCTCCCACAAGATCATTGAGCATCATTGGGGCATTTCTGTATTCTAAGGGCAACAAGAAAATAGGATAACTTATCAGTTATGTTTTATATAGATTTTTTCTATAATATTTTGTCCAATTCTTGTGCCTACAGGATATCATCCAGAGATTTCATCATGTAACATCATTAAAAAGTGTAGAATGGTTATTTTATCTTTAATTATGCACTAGAATTTATCGTATATTAACTTCATTTTGAACACGTTCACATTTTCATAGATATGCATGAAAAACATCATGCATGCTGAAAACATCAAAATAATTGTATCAAATTCTTCTGTTCAGTGTGAAATTATGTTGAACACATCAGAGATGTTGACATTCAAGCAAGTGATAGGGAATGTGAAAATGTTATATTCAAGTTTGAAGAAACATTGGAAGTGGTCCTATTGTTCTTAACCTTTTAAAAATAATGTTCACGTTTGGAAAAAAAAAAAAAAGCCCATTCCGATACTACTCAATAGCATTGGTGCTAGAACAATGAAATAGTAAATGCTTACGTTGTAGCTATTTTTTCCCCAGTTGCTTATTAAAATTTAACAAATGCAGAATAAAGACTGGGGAAGTTCTTGGATCAGGATGACTCTTGCAAGTATTCAGGTGTTAGTTTTATGTAAGAGAAGAATGAAGATTTAGAATTGGGCCATGACTCACGTCTTATATTCATAATAATTCAGCTACAGATTTCATTAAACCTATGGCTGTTTAAAAAAAATGCTTCATATGTGAGTATTAAAAGCAAATATACAAAAAACTCTAACTTAAAAAAAAAAAGTAATAAAAAAGTGTAGTCCGAAGAAAACTGTTTAATATTGCTGCTCTGTATTTTGAAGTTGCCCTGCTTTACATTATACCAGATCTGCCATTCAGCCTCTGAGGTAGCTGTAGTGCTGTTTCAACTTTTTCCAGGAAATTTCAGGAACTTCCTAGGGCATCACCTTTTTCTCACTTACCTGGATTTAGTTGTTATGGAGCTGATGAATGTGCCAGTATCTGTGGTTCCGCTTAGGTAACTGCATACCTGGAGTCCCTTTTGTGAGATGTACGTGCTGTTGGCATAAAACCAGAATCGGATTAAAAAGGAGCAAATGTTTGGCCTGTGAGCTAATTCCATGCTGAAGCATGGCATGAGCTGGTTCTGGTTTTGTTTCTGGTTGGTGACTTTTATTCCAGTTGGACTGATTCTGTCAGTAACTTTGTCACATGTTTAACTCTCTCGTTACAGGCAGTCAGTCTCAGCTATTCAGGTCTTGAGCGTGCAGGGTTTTTCATTTTCATCCCCCAAAAGGAAGATGCAGAGAAAATAATGTAAGAGACAGAGCTGCTTATTAGCAGTATTAGTTTTAAATATAGATGGCTGGTGAGCTCTTTGCATGAGTAAGAATGCTTTTAGAGTTAACCACTATTTTTACATAGGTAACTCCCTTAGCAGGAGCTGTTTGTGCTGTCTTTCTGGCTGTTAGCTTTCTGCCAGCAGCTGTGAGAAAGCAGGCAGAAAGGGGTTGAACACAGTTGCTTACTGCAAGGCAACAGTTACCGCGCTGAAAGTGGAAGTTCTGCTTTTCAGAGATGGAGTCATTGACCTCAATGAATGATAACCTTGAAGTCAAGAGACTAGATTAAT